GGTCACATTATGACCTTGGGTTTTGACCGATCTAGTGTGTAATAATGGGACACTTGACCTATTTTTTTGGACAAGTGTATTTTTGTTGTTTCTAAAATAAATAAACAAATAAATATTAAAATTCGTACTTTTTCATTTTTCTATAAAATATAAATAGAGAACACACTTGATATGTTTTGGAACAAAACTGTACTTTTAAATAAATTAAAATAAAATAAATATTTAGGTTGAGTTGAGTTGGGGATAAAAATAAATTAGATTGTAAAATTGACTTATATAGGTAGAGGAGATAGAAATAATTCTTAATTTATTAGGTTGGAAAGAGTTGGATTGAGGATAAAGATGGTTTTAGTGCAAGTATGTCGTACTTATCTATAATTATTTAGAAATAGTACATTAACATGTATTATATAAAATATATATATACTCAAGGTATATGTCAATACGTTAACAAAACGTTGATTCCATAATGGATATCCAAAATGCATTAAAGTCTAAACATTATACAATAAGCAATTTTAACCTCACACACAAAGGACTTGTTTGGTAATCAGTCGTTAGTTGTTAGCTGTTAGTTGATTACATTAACTGTTTTGACCAGCGGATTGTGTTAGTTGTTTTGACCAGCGGATCGTGTTAGCGGTTTGTCAAAAAGTTTTGGTAAAGTTAGCTATTTTTATTAATTGTTAACATGTAAAATTACTTATAACGACATCAAACATATTTTTTTATTCTAATGTATGTTGAATTTTATTAAGGAAATATAAATAATTAATATTTTAAATATTTATTAAAGTGATTTAAATATGATAAAAATATAATTAATAATAAAATTAAAATATTTCATAAGTAAAAGTTAGCAGAGTACCGAACAAAAGAGGTTTGATGCTTTTGAATTCATTGTATTAATTCCACTTCCTAGCCATATGTTCTCTCGCAGTCTCGTTGCTTATTTTATTTTTTATTTTTGTGAAGAGAAAAAAATAAGGGCAATCAAGGCATTTAATTTTTATATAAACAAACAGCTGAATGAAAACGCTGCTAAAAGCAGCTTTTTCTAAGTTGGCAGATAGACCCAAAAAAACTGTTTGTAACCGTTGTTTACCAAACATATTTTTTAACTGGTTAAAAAAGTCAAACAGCTAAATATTTAAAAAATCTCTTTTGAGAGAAAAAAAGTTGTTTAACAAACTAAAAAATCTCTTTTGAGAGAAAAAAAGTTGTTTAACAAACACAGCCAAAGTAGTTAAATGAATTCATTACGTAGGTTAGGTTTGGTTCAGCTCCGACTCATTTATTACTTAACAAGATAAGTCGAGTTCGATTTGTTTACATTTAAAAATAGTAATTTCTTGTATCTCATTATAGTTCAATTTGTTAACATTGTTACAATAAATGAGCTCGAGCTAGAGCTCGTCTAATTAAAAATTTAATATTGATAATAAAGTAACCAAAATCCCAACGAAAAAATAATACTCAAGAAA